TGGGAATACCAATGACACCTATAGGCCTTGTACGTAGGATATCAGAAAACTACCGAGCTAGCTACGGGGGCGAGGTGCGACTAAATACATGAGGGAATAGGGGTAACTGCGGGGGACTGGGTCGAGTCATGGTCGGAGCCGATACGGGGACCCTTCGGATAGGATCCGAGCGACCCGAGATGGAACGATTCGTAGAATCGTTACAGTTATACTTTAAGCTTTTAAATAAAATATAATAACATACTTTACAGGCAAGTTGCTTACACACCTAAGTTACTTACTTTTACTAAGACCCTACTACACTACTTTTTTATACTAATATATTTCTAATAACACTACTTAAATATGTTAAAGGAATATTAGATGTAGGTTACTGTAAAGATGGGATGGTAAGTAGCACGGATAGCACTGAGAGCAAGCTTTCGGAGAAAGATAGGAGTGTATTGTCAGAGAGACGAATCGCTGCCAAGCTTCGCTTGTCAGGATTCATGCTTATATACGAAGCACAGGTCATACGACCTCCAAACAGGTCAGGTGAGGCCATACTGGCCCGTTCTGGGACATCCGGCCTTACAGTTACACTTTAAGCTTTTAAATAAAACATAACACTTTTTAAGTAACATGCTACAGCTATTTATAAAGTCTTTTAAAAGATAATAAGTAACTAATATACTAAATAACCTTTTTAAGCTAATTATATAGCTAACTTATAAAAGCTAGATAATAATAAAAAGTAAGTAATTATTTAGCACATACTTAAGCTAAATATGTAAGGATTTCCCTTTTAGCTAGTAGCTATAGCTAATATAGCTAATTCTTTACATGCTAAGTGTAATATAGGCTATATTAGTATAAACTAGCTTAATATGTTTATTAAGTGGTACTTAAAGCTTAAAGTAAAGTTTAAGTGTAAGTATAACTATAAAAAAGCTTTTTATAAAGATTTTATAGTAATTTAAAGCTAGTTTAACTTTATAAAAAATATTAAAGCTAAGTATAGCATCTAAAATAATAACACATATAACTTTAATAAAATAAAGTTTATAATAGGCTAGATATCTACTAAAGCAGTTATTATAAGTTTAGAGAAATAAAGACAGCTAAAAGCAGGCTAGCTAAGTAACTAAAAGTAGATAATAGCTATCTAGAGCATTAATGCTAAAAGGTAGGCTATTTTACTTTTTATTATTTTCTAGAGTAGCAACTACTTTTTAAACTAGTATAAAAAAAATCTACTTTAAAATTAAGTTATTATAATTTTTTAGCATAGCTAGACTACTAATTAGCTTAGTCTAGACTAGTTAAAGCACTTTAACACATATATAAAAAAGTATACTATTAGTAGCTACTATTTACTAGTTATTAATAGCTATAAGAACTATAACTTACTTTATTTTTAGTAATACTATAAAAATAATAAGATTATTACTATTTATATGCTTTTTTACTTATTACACTTTTTATAGCTACTTAATGTAGGTTGTTTTACTCTTTTAAAAAAAGTATATAAGTGCTAAGCTAAAAACCTTATATATAACTAAATTACTTATATTATAAAAATAAAGTTTCTACTATACTTTAAAGTAGCTTATAATACTATAATTACTTTTAGTAATATTTAAAAAAAGTTTTAAAGCGCTAAATTAGTTTCTTTTAACCTATAATAAGTTATAATAAGCCTTAATATAAAGTTATACACTCTATTACTACTACTACTTATATATAATAAGCCTTAGTAGTTAGAAACTTTAAGTAATACTTTAAAACTTAAGTTATAATTAATGTTTATAAAAATAAAAATTTAAAAGCATATAAATAGTTTACTAACTTTTATAGTTAAAGTGTTTAAAAGAGTTTTAAAAAAAAGTAGTAATAATTATATATAAGCTAGTGTTAGTATAATAAGAAATTACTAAGCTTTAAGTAGCTAATAAAGCTTCTACATAATATAAATTACATAAAAAAGTAAATTAAAGTAAAAAAAACATTAATAATTTAAAAAAGCTTATACTTAATAGCTTTAAAAAAGTTTAAAGCACATAGTAATAAAAAAAAAGCAAAGAAGTAGGTGTAAGCTAAAGTAGGTAAGCTATTCTAAAGGCGCTATAAATTGTAACGGCGCAGGCAAGACAATAGGTCCGAATGCGGTATGAATCCACTCAGAGGCATATGGGAGTGCGTGGGGACTCAGAGACCTGGGAATACCAATGACAATGTAACGGCGCAGGCAAGACAATGGGTCCGAATGCGGTATGAATCCACTCAGAGGCATATGGGAGTGCGTGGGGACTCAGAGACCTGGGAATACCAATGACACCTATAGGCCTTGTACGTAGGATATCAGAAAACTACCGAGCTAGCTACAGGGGCGAGGTGCGACTAAATACATGAGGGAATAGGGGTAACAGCAGGGGTCGGGGCCAGGTCGAGGTCGGGGCCGATACGAGGGCCTTCCGGAGGTTCCGGGCGACTCGAGATGGAACGATTCATGAGGATCGTTACAATAAATAGTGTAATTAGACTAGGCATAATACATAAACATGTAAGTAAGAAGTAGAAGTAGTATCTAAAAAATATTCTAGGCTGTACTATACTATATAGTGCTAGAGCAGGTTGTTATAGGCTATAATAGAGTTTGTTAGGGTAGGGTCTTAGCAAAAGTAAGCGACTTAGGTGTGTAAGCAACTTGGCTGTGAAGTACGTTACTTTTAAGTAATATACTATAGCTATATATAGAGTTTTTTTTTTTAAAAAAAAATAATAAACAACTAGCATACTACATAACTTTTATAAGCTTATTCTATAGCTAACTTATAAAGGCTAAATAATAATAAAAAGTAAGTAATTATTAAACTTATACTTGTAACAATTCTCGTTCCATCTCCGGTCGCTTAGAACCTATCCAAAGGGTCCCTGTATCGGCCCCGACGCTGACTCGACCTGGCTCTAACTCTACCCTGCCCCCTGCTGTTACCTCTATTCCCCTATGTATTTAGTCGCACCTTGCCCCTGTAGCTAGCTTAGTAGTTTTCTAATATCCTTTGTACAAGGCCTATAAGTGTTAATAGAGTTCCTAGGTTATTAAGTCCCCACACACTTCTATATGCCTCTAAGTAGATTCCTACTGTATTTAGACCTATTATCTTGCCTATTCTGTTACATTATATTAGAAAACTTACTTTTACTAGTAACAGCCTTATTCTAATATTACACTAATTATTTATTTAACTACATCTAAGCCTAAAACATGTCTATTTTAGTTTAAGTTGCAATACTTCTACACTATTATATTAAACTATTTAGTTTATAGATAGGGTACTAGAGACCTTTTATTAACTAAAGCCTTTAGGTTTAGAAGTTTCTATCCTCTATAATTAAAATTGCCTTTGGAAAAGTTGTGTAGAGTGCGCTAAGGTAGAAACTTAGAGACTACTAATAACTTATTAGGATTAAAGATAACTGTAAGGCTAAGATAGCGCTTACGTGCGACAGGTATATATACTATTCTGTACGCAATAATTAACTGTTAGTTAATTATTTGCACCTTTTTAGTTATATTAGCGTAGTAGTACAGAGCTCTGTCCTTACATAATAATTAACTAACAGCAGGGTACAGTTAGTGTTTAACCTCTACCTTAGTTAGCTTTAAGCTAGTTTTTAAACTAAAACGTGAGGCGGCCTCTTCTAGCGCTATGTTGTTGCTGCTAGAAGGTCTAGTGTATATAACTTAGCTGGCGTAGGCCACTAAGCGTTGTTATTTTATCCCGCGCCTTTAGGCCGCAGGTGGTCAGCCTCTGGCTGGTAACCAAGTCATGCGCATGGCGCCTCTAAGCTGCTAGTAGGTCATGTGACGCCTGGGACATGCGTCTGCTAAGAAGGGGGATAATGGAAGGCTAAGAGAGCGCTTACGTACAACAGGTATATATACTATTCTGTACGCAATAATTAACTATTAGTTAATTATTCGCACCTTTTTAGTTGTATTA